ATGAGCTGGGCAGCTCCAAGCCGCGGCCACTTTTAGCTGGGGGCGTGGGTCGGCCCGCGCCTCCGCGGCTCAGCGGCCCCACCTGCGAGGAGAGGGCGGGATGCCCGAGCCAGGTGCGCCGGTGCTTTAAGGCCCCGCGCCGCCGGACGTCCCTCCACGGCCGCTCGCGTCGCCTCTAGGCTGCCTGGAGCGTGGTTTTGAGGAGAGCTTTCTGAGCAGCCGCGATGGCCAGCACCAGGAGTATTGAGCTGGAGCACTTTGAGGAGCGGGACAAAAGGCCGAGGCCGGGGTCTCGGAGGGGGGCGCCCAGCTCCTCCGGGGGCAGCAGCAGCTCGGGCCCCAAGGGGAACGGGCTCATCCCCAGCCCAGCTCACAGTGCCCACTGCAGCTTTTACCGCACGCGGACCCTGCAGGCCCTCAGCTCGGAGAAGAAGGCCAAGAAGGCGCGTTTCTACCGGAATGGGGACCGCTACTTCAAAGGCCTGGTCTTTGCCATCTCCAGCGACCGTTTCCGGTCCTTCGATGCGCTCCTCATGGAGCTCACCCGCTCCCTGTCAGACAACGTGAACCTGCCCCAGGGCGTCCGCACCATCTACACTATCGACGGCAGCCGGAAGGTCACCAGCCTGGACGAGCTGCTGGAAGGTAGGAGGGACGGGCACCGCGCTGCAGGTGCGGCGGAGCGCGCTGGCAGGTGCAGCGGCCGCGGGCCGGAGCGCACCCGCCCGCCCAGTGCAGAAGGGAGCCTGCGGGGCGCTTTCTAGGCGGCCAGGGGAACTGCAAGCTTCTGCAGCTCTGTGGGTTGTGTGTATGAGGGTGGAGGGGACGCCCACAGTACTCTTTCCTTCTTAAGATATTTGCTTTTAAAAAAAGAAAGAAAGAAAAAACCAGAAGCAAAATTAGGCGTTGGTGGCACCTCTTGAGATTGGCTAACTTCTTTTTGTTCGAGTGCAAACTACTTGGAAACATGACTCTTCCTTTAGCTTGGGCAGTTGCCTACTGTTTAGCTGTTTTGCCCTTGGCCTGGACCCCAAGTGCAGGCACTTGTGGTGTTCCAATGTATGGGATGCTGTTATACCTGCTCTACTCAGAAGCTGTGACTTGAAGTGCTCTGGGTTGGCTTTCCTGGATTGGCTTGCTGCAGAAGTCACTTCAGGTCAAAAGGGGTGATCCTGGACAGAAGTCCCAACTTTGGCTGCATGTTGGATCACCATGGGGTCTTTCAAAAATAGGGGTGCCTGGCTTTCACCCCTAGATATCCTGATTATATTGGTTTGGGGTGTGGCTTGGGTGTTTAGCATTTTGAAAGCTCCCTAGGTGATTTTAATGAGCAGCCAAGATTGAGAATCACTGTGTTAAGGGTTTTCCACATTGGATTGGAAATGAGGTGAATCAAGGTCAGTCTCTCTTGCTTCCTTCCCTAATGAGAGTACCTAGTTGGAATGATAGAAGCCATTGGAATCAGCAGTTGAGGCCTGTTATAAATTACTAACCCAGGCATGACCACCATGCATCACTCAAATGGACTTAAATTAGTTGTATGTTGGATCATTGTTGAATTCCTGCAATATTTTTTTTCTTCTTCTCAGGGAGAAAAACTTTTCTAGTAGTTAAGAACCTGTTTGCAATTCTAAACAGCGTCCAGAAAGATCAGGCCAAACCCAAGTATGTGTTGACTGCATATTTTCGTGAAGTTAGTGCTCACGCATCTATCTTGATGCAAATGGACAGTCATAGCACTATTGTCTTGGTACAGGGAGAAAACTCATCATTGAGCCAGGTATTTTCCTTATATTATCTCAGTATCCTAGTTTATTATGTTCTGAAGGCATTATATCCATTTTACAGATGAGGAAACTTAAGGCACTTTTTTGAAGAGGAAACTTGTCTCATGTAGCCATATGAGTCCTGTAAGAGGTTGAGTTTCTTGCTTTGTATGGTGGCGCATGCCTGTAATCCCAGTGGCTATAGGGGCTGAGTCAGGAGGGTAACCAGTTCAAAGCCATTCTCAGCAATTTAGGGAGACCCTGTCTATATAAAGTATAAAAAGGGGCTAGGGATGTGGCTCAGTGTCAAGTGCCCCTGGGTTCAACCCCTAATACCAAAAAAGGTTGTGTTTCTCTATGTAGTCACTTTTATCAGAAGTTTTCTTTGCTTTGGTTGGAGGACAATACTGCTGAAATTAAGTTGGTTCTTCAGTCTGTATGTACATTCTCTAGTTCAGTCCTGTGTTCTGATTTTAAAGACTTTCAGAAGGAGGTGAAGATTTTTGTAGCAGTATAAGTAAATGAAGAGGTGCTGTCAAAAGGGCTATATACCTCTTTTCTTAATTGGGTTAAGTACTTAAAAGCAACATTTGCCTAGATATTTCTAAACTGAGTAATTTCTAACTGATCCAAGGTCAAGAGTTGCAGCCCTGTGGAAGGATCCAGGCAACCAATGCCTATTGCCTAAGCCTTGGTTACTCACTTCCCTTTCAGATACTGTTCCAGGTGTGTCTCGGGAGGGTCAACAATTTTGATATCCTCTGAACTAATTTAACAATGTATTTACTACATAAAATTAAGGTCCTTTTAAGATGAATACCATAGAAAGATGATCAAAATGACTATTTTCTGTATAAATGAGAGCACAATTACATATGCAGGCTGTTGTCACTCCACAGGGGATGCTTGGCCCACTGGGTTTAATTCTTAAACTATAGTTTCAACCACAAAATGACAACAAATTTACTTCAAATCATTCATTTGCTAATGTTTGGAAAATAGGGATTTGGAAAAACACTAGAGTCCAGATTATACCACAATACAATAAATAAGGATATCGTTATAACAGATAGTTATAGAGCAAATGTTTCTTTGGCTTTGCCCACTTCTTTCAAGCAGTTTTAATGTAATAAAATTACTACAAAAGAAGAAACTATGGGCAGTCTTTTTCTTTTTCCTCCATAGAATTCTTTGTCTAATGAATGTCTATTAGACAAAGTCCCATATTCAATGTCCCATAGAATAGATCTTTGTCTAATTCTTGAGTTTCCCACAAGGTGAGTGAAATACCTCATAGTAATGCATTTTTCAAAAGATAACCATCATTGCTTAATATCCTTTCAGAATGCAGATAGCTTTAAGTTTTATTTAAAATCATGTACTCAAATGTTTAGATTGACTATGTAGAAGAACCAATCAGTTATCTGTGAAGTTATTTGTATCAGTAGAAACAGGTCTGTAGTATTGCCCATTGTTAATTTTTTTAAAATTTCATTTAGTTAACTGGGGTTTTCTCCGACTTTGTCATTTTTAATAAAGACTCTTAGGCAGTATTTTATACCCTTGTGTTCCTGTCTTCTCTCCTCTGCATCTTCCATCCCATGAAACTTGTAGTTTAGGAGACAGAGTGTTTTTTTCTGAATGCCCTCATCAGGGAATAGGAAGTAATGACTCAAGACAGCAAGGCTGGAGCCCTCAAAGTGCCATTGAACTCAGATGACAAAAGGAATTTGCATGACCCAGATTTTTTTTTTCTTCTGCCCTTGACCTTGAGAGTCTCAAGAGGCTAAAAGCTGTTCTAGTGTTAGCCAGCACTCCTCTAGCACCACACTAAACCATCAGGCACCTTCAGTTTATTGATTTACCCACCCTCGTGCTGGATTAATTTCACTGAATCGATGCTGTGCATTCCTGTAATCCTGTTTATTCTTTACTACTGGATGGGGACCTCCTTTTATAGGAGAACTGAGACCCCCTAACTGTCAGTGTTGGGAAAATGAGCCGAGCTGTCTCCAGCTGTGAGCCTGCCTAGCCTTGAGTAGTCTTAAGAGCCAACTGAGGGCATCTGAGGCCCTCTTATGCAGGGCTGAGTCAGAATTCCTAGCCTCAATTCTGCTGCATGAGTCCTCTTCCCTTCTGAGCATTTTGGTTATGTTTGGAAAAATTTTACGTCTTGAAGAGATAAAGGATACTTACTAGAAACAGTGTCTGATTACATTAAGTTTGCTGGGTTCTGCTAACTGGATTTGAGAAATTCACCGCAGTTACCTGGCCTCAGTGTTTTTCCTGTAGAACTAACTATAGGTTGGCAGATCCCCTTTCTGGATTGGGTCTCTTCTAGACTAATGGTATGTACCTTTTCCTACCTGAGTGGTTATTTACAGATGGCCTGGGCCACCTTTCCTTGTCCAGAAACTGTCATTCAGAAAATGCCCTTTTACCAAGGTGTGAGAGGAGTTTGTGGCTCTGAAAAAGTATTTACCTAGAGCCAAACATAGTCACAGATACTTCTGGCTGCTTCTCACATTCCAAAGTAAAATGTCATTTTATGTTGTGTCTACCTTTTACCCCTTTGTAAAAGATAGGTAAGCTGGATACTTGGCATGTGAGATAATTTTGATAATTTGATTATTGGTAGTTTAACTCCTTTATGAAGTTAACTTGAACATCTAAGAAAAATAAGGTTCTAAAGTACAGCACCTGGGGTTCTCTGCCAAACCTAGTTTACTGCACCTGTTTGATTAGGTTGGCATCTTTGAAGGTGTTAAAGACCCCCCCAAATACAGGATCTGAGAGAGTTTGAAGTAAAATGAGGCTCCATAAGAACCCAGATTATACTTAGTCCCCTCTCCCCCCCAAAAAGTAGATTTAAAAAACAATAATAAAAACTGTGCTTTGGAAACATGTTATGGTGAGAAGAGAAATCTAAATCCCATGAGATATTTGCATAAGAAGTCAAAAGTTTCTATAGGACAATTTAACATTAAATCTTACATCTGCAAAGTCTTCTTTTTTAAAAAAATTATTTTTTCTTTTCAGTTTTACATGACAGTAGAATGTATTTTGACATACCATACATACATGGAGTATAACTTCCCATTCTTGTGGTTGTACATGATGTGGAGTTACACTGGTTGTGTACTCACTCATGTATGAGCATAGAAAAGTTGTTTCTGATTCGTTCTACTGTCTTTCCCCATCCCTTCCCCCCACTGCCCTCTTCCAGCCTGGTGACCCCCTTCCCCACATTGTGAGTCAGCATCTGCATATCAGAGAGAACATTCAGCCTTTGGTTTTTTGGAATGGGCTTATTTTATTTAGCATGATAGTCTCCAGTTCCATTCATTTATGGGAAAATGCCATAATTTCATTCTTCTTTGTGGCTGATTAATATTCCAATGTGTATATATACCACATTTTCTTCATCCATTCATCTGTTGAAGGGCACCTAAGTTGGTTCCTTAGTTTAGCTATTGTGAATTGAGCTGCTATAAACATTGATGTGGCTGCATTACTATAGTGTGCTGATTTTAAGTCCTTTGGGTATATGTCAAGGAGTAGGATAACTGGGTCAAATGGTAGTTCCATTCCAAGTTTTCTGAGGAATCTCCATCCTGCTTTCCATATTGGCTGCAACAGTTTGCCGTCCCACCAGCAATGTATGAGTGTCTCTCTTCCCCCACATCCTTGCCAACACTTATTGTTACTTGTATTCTTGTTAATTGCCATTCTGAGTGAGGTGAAATCTCAGTGTAGTTTTAATTTGCACTTCTTTAATCTTCAAAGTCTTCTTTACCTGCCAGACTTCTGGATTATTCAAGACCCTCTTCAAATATTGCCTGTGAAGTCTTTCCTCAGACTTCTGTGCAGAAGGTCTTA